ATATATAGTAAATATACTAATATATAGTCATATATTTAGTATATAATAAAATACACTAATATATACACATTTTATATAATTGTTTTATATTAATGAATGAAATAATTAAATAATATATTGATATTGTGTTTTGTATCTTTTTTTTTCTTTTCTTTTGTATCTGTATGTTACTTCATTTTTTGTACCTGTTTGTTGTTGGACCATGTGTGTCCTTTGATGATGATGATGATGATGAATAATAGTACTAAAAATAATCCCATTCATCCATCCATCCATCCATCCATCCATCCATCCATCCATCCATCCATCCATCCATCCATCCATCCATCCATCCATCCATCCATCCATCCATCCATCCATCCATCCATCCATCCATCCATCCATCCATCCTCCCTCCCTCCCTCCCTCCCTCCCTCCCTCCCTCCCTCCCTTCCTCCCTCCCTTCCTTCCTTCCTTCCTTCCTTCCTTCCTTCCTTCCTTCCTTCCTTCCTTCCTTCCTTCCTTCCTTCCTTCCTTCCTTCCTTCCTTCCTTCCTTCCTTCCTTCCTTCCTTCCTTCCTTCCTTCCTTCCTTCCTTCCTTCCTTCCTTCCTTCCTTCCTTCCTTCCTTCCTTCCTTCCTTCCTTCCTTCCTTCCTTCCTTCCTTCCTTCCTTCCTTCCTTCCTTCCTTCCTTCCTTCCTTGTCCTCTGTGACCGTGGGATGGTAATTGCTCACACAGATCTTCACAGGAGGGCCGAAATATCTAATCCCATAGAGTTCACACACTCCACGGCCTCCCCTCTTTACCCATCTCCTAGCTAACAAGACGCGGCATCTTCACAGCCACAACTGTCCCTCACCAAACAAACCTCCGTTTTCCAGCGTGAACCGTCACAAAGCTAAGTAATCATGGACTGAATGCCCTCAATAAAAACACATATTTACAAGCGCTACCCGTTTGTCATCACATTTTCTTAGACAAAACGAGCACGGTTCGTTCACAGATAAATACATATTAATGATGCGGTTGTATGTTCTTCACACGTATAAACTCTGTTTACCGATGATTGACAGTGCAGGCTGTAATTGTCTCAGTGTTTCCCACAGCGTGTGTTTGGTGTGTGTGTTTATGTTTTGCTTTGGAAATTTTACTCTGCTTAAAGGTGAAGTCTGTGATTTCTGCTCTACTAGTTTCCCAAATACTTGTCTGCCATTGGTCACACTATTGGAACAGCAATTGTGTGCGGGACATATTGGGGCTTCAGTTATTTCTTTAATTTTGTAGCCAACAGGCTATAGTTATGTCACATCTGAAAGATATGTAGTAAAAGCCACAACACTTTTGATTTAATAGGGTTATCAATCCTAGGAGGTTTACCAAAAAAATTTACTTGATTGATTGATTGATTGATTGATTGAAAACGTCATGTTGTATTTATTTATTTTTCCACAAAACTTTTGATTTATAGGAGGCTGACTGAAAAAATATACTAACAATTAGACTATTTATTCATTCTAAAGCCACATTTTTTGATTTCATAAGGACTTTATTATAGGAGGTTGACTGAAAAAACATTTAACTCGAATCATTCTTTCGTTCGTTTGTTCGTTCATTCGTTCATTTATTAAAGCCAGTTAAGCCACAAATCAATCTGTCTGTATGTCTGGTAACTGATATAGTCATTATATTGGGGAGACTCCTCTTGAAATCTGAATAGAAGTGGACACAATACAGCAGATGCATAGTGCCTCAGCTGACCTGATTGCTTCACTGTTGTTTGGCTTGTTTGTTATGCGGTGTGAAGGCGTCCATCAGGAGCCAGTGTAGTGGCGTGTAGTCCTGCCCACATCACTTCCTGTACAGTTACGAGGAGGACTGGGCCAGAGGTTACTATAGTTAGCTGCAGCAGGTTGTTTTGTTGTCTAGCTGGAATGTTTCCTGTGGGTGAGGACAGTGTGTTTCCTGTGCTGTGTATGGGGATTTTCTCAAGGTGCTCACAGTCAGGACTCAGGTCTCAGGTTCACATCCGACACATTCACAGCTGACCAGCACTGGGGAACAGTCTGTTCTGAGAGAGTGCTTCTATTTATACCCTCCTTCACAGGACTTTGTTGAATTCAAGGCTTGTCAGGCATGCGCACACCAACACACACACAAACATATTTCGTAGTTCAAGATGACGTGTGTGATTTCTAGATCACTAGTGCCACCAAACGAAATTGCAGTCTTTTGTTTCAGCAAATCTATCTATCTGTCTATCTATCTGTCTATCTATCTGTCTGTCTGTCTGTCTGTCTGTAACAACAAAAAATTGTAAAACAAAATTGCGGAACATTTGAACAATTATTGAGATTCTGGAAAAGTTAATAGAAATCCTATTGTATGGCTTTGTGTGAGGAACAGACCGAAAGTCGATATTCACTTATAATCCCTCCCCCCGGCAAAGCTTAGATTAAAAAATGGTGCATTGATGATCACACCAGGATTGATGTCATTGACAGCAGCCAACTCAAATATGTGGAATGGAGAATGAAATTGGAGAGTTGCAGCGAAGGGGAAGATTTGCAATAAATAATTACATTTATTTTGTTCCTCGCCCAAAGTTATCATACGACTTTTCACTGAGCATTCAGTCATCATAATTGGGAATTTGGGGGACTTTTCATCATTCTCTACTGATAAACCATGAATCTAATAAGCTACAAAAAAGTTTGTGGATGTAGCTTGAAAGCTTTAGCAATTAAAAACCATAAATCAATTTGTACAATAACAGTATGTTGGCTCATATAATGACACATACAGTGTGTGTGTGTGTTTGTGTGCTTGCGCAGATGAATTTAACTCGTCGAGGCAGGAGCTTGATGTTCTCTCCTCAGGGCACCATGTCACACAGCTTTTTCAAATGAAAACATGGTCAATGCTCAAGGGGACAGTAAATCAACCTCCTTTAATGGAGGACGTGTTCACAGAATGTCCTGTGACAAGTCTGCCCACACAGAGGTGTTATTTAATACCTGTCGGTGCATAGAAAAGAGCAGGCTCTCCTTTAAATCTCACCTCTATCTGTCTTTCTCACTTTAATTTAAACCTGAAAACAACAGGAGATGATGTTGAGGTGTTCAAGGCATTCATTAAAGCGCTCTCCCGCTGCTGGTTATGGGGTTGTGACCCGTCTGGCCTTTAAATTTCAAGTGGCTCTCACCCCTGACACATTCACCCCGTGCTAATTCTGCTCATGGCAGTGAGGTTTGAAGAGCTAATGCATGCAGGCCCGGGCTCTGTGCTTAACCCCCTCCCACAGGCCAGCATTTTGCCATTTTGATGCCTGGGTGCAGATTTATAGATGTACCACCTTGGTAACCATGGGAAACAGTGTTAAGTGGCTTGGCTTGAAAGGCTTATCTACTTTACAGCAGTACTGACATACTGGAAAATACATTTATGACCACTAGGGGTGCAAAAATAAATGTTTTTAAAGGGTATTTAAACCCCTGGTCAGAGCCTGACTCCACCCACTGGCAATATTTGAAAAAATGCTGGAAAAGTGGGCGGAGCCCAGCGGAGATAGAGGGGATGAACGGATACTCTATCCTGATCGTTTTCAATACTCGCAATTCCAACTACTGACTCGCTACAGTGGTTTTGACGAAACAAGATGGTTTTTATACTGCCATGGGCGTGGTAGCTCGTACGGTAAGCTGAAACCTGCTTACGTCAGCTCTCACCGCTACCGTCACGAACTACCGCAAACATCCAATAGGAAAATTCAAGTGCAGTAGCCACCATTCAACCTGAAGAGGGCAGCACTCAGACGTTTTTACACCATATATTGTAGAATTAAAACACTTTATACCCAAATGTCAAAAAAGTTACTCGAATCAATGAACAGCATTAATAAAGCCCCAGTCTTACAGATCATTAACTAAAAAAAGTTGGTTTAGTGTTTAGTTACCCTTTAATAGCAAGGATTCCAAAATATGTGTGTGTGTGTGTGTGTGTATATATATATATATATATATATATATATATATATATATATATATATATATATATATATATATACATAACCTACATATACATACATACATGCATGCATTTATTTGATCTAAAACATAGCAAACATAGTAATATCGTAGAATATTTTTTTTTACAATATAAAATAACTGTTTTCTATTTGAATATATTTTAAAATGTAATTTATTCCTGTGATGCAAAGCTGAATTTTTAGCATCATTACTCCAGTCTTCAGTGTCACATGATCCTTCAGAAATTTTTCTAATATGCTGATTTGATGCTCAAGAAACATTTATTATTATTATCAACGTTAAAAACAGACCCTTTTTCCAGGATTCTTTGATGAATAGAAAGTTAAAAGAACAGTATTTATCTGAAATAGAAAGCTTTCGTAACATTATACACTACCTTTCAAAAGTTTGAGGTCAGATGCTTTTACATTTTTTTTTTTGGAAGGAAATTAAAGAAATTCATACTTTTATTCAGCAAGGATGCATTAAATTGATTAAAAATATTAAGTAAAGACGTTTATAATGCTACAAAAGCTTTCAATTTCAGATAAATGCTGTTCTTTTGAACTTTCTATTTTCATCAAAGAATCCTGAAAAAAAAAAAGGGTTTTTTTTCTAATTTTGGGGGAAAATATGCAGAATTACTTTAAATGTTAAATTGGATTAGCTGAGAGTATCTCAGTTTTATTGAGTTGTGTTGTGACAGCTAATTATATTTGACACACCTTGGCTTTTGACCTCGTAGAGTCAAACACACTGTGTTGATGAACTTGTAAATAAGGCCTCCTATTCTAATAATGTCATGTCAGAGCCGGTGTGTGTGTGTGTGTGTGGGGGTTTGACGGTCTGGTCAGGCAGCTTGGAAACTTCTGTAAATGATCAACATGGATGTTAAGAGTCTTCTCTTTAACTGTAGCCCTGTGTGAGGCACTGGTTAAACTTTGACCTCGGAAAAAGCGTGAAGGAAAGAAAAACAATGTCGGGCTCCTAGTACACTGCATGTTGTCCGACGATCGCACCCCCCCAGGAGAATCTCGCAGAAAAGTGTGTGCGAGAATGCATGTGTTTCCTTTCCATGGCTAACAATGCAGCTCAGGAAATATGTCAGAACAAAGGCCAGACATCCAGGCTCTTGTTCTCAGTGTGCACTGCTGAGGAGGACTGGGATACACTCACAGGCAGAACCGTGACTGTATATGCATGACTCCAGTTCAGCTGTATGATAAAAGTGAGGCTGGACTGGTTGACACCTGGAGGTTCTTCTTAGACTGACGGGACAGAAGGCCGTGCGATGTCCCTCTGGACGGTGAGTTGCTTGTTGACCTCTATCTCTCCAAATGGGCGACATGGAGCATTACAGACTTAAGACTAGTGAGAATTGATGTCAGAATGTGTAAAAAAAGATATTTACTTTATACATAATATACAGTGCTGTATTACAAATCTTTTTTTTTTGTAATCCTGGAAATAATCAAGAAAAGACATATTTAATAATCTGCACTTTTTCTAGGTCACTTATCTAAAAATGATCATGTTAAACTTTTTATACAGATTATGAGATGTTCTTGCAGACTGGGGTAATAATGCTGAAAATGTACTGGAAGAAATCATCAAAAAACATCAAATATTACTCGTTTCACTGTATTTTCTGGTCAAATTAATGCAGCTTTAGTGAGTTAATGAAAATTGCTGTATTAAATTAGAAACAATGGACATGGAAATGTCAGATTTTTGTTTATTGCTTTTGTCATGGAAACGTTTAGAAAGTTCTAGAGTGATAATACATTTCCCCATGAGCTAGACATTGTTATTGTGTTGAAAAAAGAAAATGGACATATTTGATTTGTGAGAATGGTCTGGATGATTCATTAGCAAATTAATCAGAATCAAAGGTATTTTAAAAATCTAAATGGAGAGTGTAGTAGAGAATGTGTATTTATTAGTGGCCTTAGACGTTTGGACCCCTCTATAGTGTCAGAGAATGTAGATTTATTAAGGTTGATATAAGGACTAGAAATAAATTGTTGTATTTTGATGTATATTATTAAGTGAAGTAGTGTATTAAAACTGAGTTTGAAATATGTTTTTAGACTGGTTGAAAAGTGCTAATGGTTCATGATATTTCAGTATGACCCGTAACATTACAAAACGAAGGCTACCACTGTGATAATACAGATATTTAAATCACAGCCCCTCAGGCTGTGTTTTTCGGCTCTTGTTTTATCTGACTCTGAATCAGGGTTAGGAAAAACAAGATACAAAGTGTAACCAACACGGCTCCAAGTCCCGACATGCCAGTGAGGTTTGCTACAGGACAGGTAGAACAACAAACCAGTGACGATGTTCCTGTTTACTACTACAACCAATGCAGCACCTCTTACAGATTGCCCAGTCTGGGATCATTGTTTGTCTTTTTTGCTGGAGGGCATGAGTGTTTTCCTGTGCTGTCTAAATGTGTTTGTTTGTGAATGGGGTGACTCTGGTGTTAGCTTAAGATTGCCAAGTTACTCAAAATTGATTTCTGGCTGCTGCTAAGTGGGACGGGATTTTTCAAAACCATTCAAGTTGAATTAATGGTGCCTCTAGGATAAAATAATGGGTTTTTCATTCCTTGTAAACTGTTTTTGGTTTTGTTGTTGTTTTCTAGCAGCTACAGGCTTGAGCATATGTACCCGCAGAAATGACACCATAATAATCAGGTTATTTAAATTTTTTTTTTTTCAGTGCACTGCAAAATATTCTTCTAACAAATGTAAAGTAGAAGAAAATGTAGAAGTAGCTTGAGCAAAAAGTTTTTAGTAGGAGTAGTCAAGAATACTCGAAATGTTGCTAACAAAAGTTGCTTTATTGACCTTACTTACTCAAATCCCAAAATTTCCAAATTGAGCCATCTAAACAATGTTTTGCAAGGTCCCAGCATGCATAGCACCTTGAAATAATAACGTGATAACTATTATTAAAAAATCATCATTGTTTTACATTTTACTGGCTTAATTTATGCTGCTAGTTAGCTGTCATATAGTTTAGAGGTCCTATTTTTACTTAATTAAAATGGTTTAACCGCATTGTGTTTGACATTGCATTGAGGTATCTGTGCATCCAGCGCATTCTCATCCCAAAGCGTAATATATTGACTCTTTTGCCAAAGCGTCTATATCCAACGCATATGGCACCCTTTAGCGTCAGTATAACACGCTTTGGTTTTGGGTAGGTTTAGGTCTGGGGTAGTGTTAGGGTTAGACCACTAGGAGGCGCCATATATCTGCGTCTCATATGACGCTAAAGGGTGCCATGTGCGTTGGATATAGACGCTTTGGCAAAAGAGTCAGTATATTACGCCTTGGGATGAGAACGGGCTCGTGCATCGTAGTGCAAATCTGGAGTTTAATATATTTACCTATCGGGGTAATATGTTTGCCAGTTTTAAGAGGCAATGCCCATGTCATGTAGTGAGCATTGAAAATCAAACATAATGATAAAAGAACAAGGTTTTTTGTAGCTCCTTGCATTGCTAAATGCTAAACAACCTTTAGTTACTTTGACAGGAATTTCATGAGATTTTTCATGAGACAATTTTTTTGATCTTTCAAAAGTCATTTTTATTTTACAGTGTTTATACAGTAGGCCTGTAGCGGCGCGTCGATGACGTCGACGCTTTGACGTCAAAAATTCGTCGACGTCATATTTTTTTGTCGACGCTTCTTTATTTATTTATGTATTTTTTTTTTTTGCACCGTTCCCGGCGGTACAGCTCGCCACACACACGTGGGAGACCGAAACATTGCAGAATCGAGGACGAAACAGCAACCTCTTCACAGAATTCACAACAAAGCCATGCAAAAGTCCCAACAAAAGAAAAAGTCCTAAAAAAAAACAGCTCGCACTAAATCATTGAAGGTATGGGAATACTTCAAATTCAGTTCCAAACGTAAAGGTGTCGTTATTTGCGCTCTTTGTCAAATGGAGTTGACATCCCAAGTCTCCCGCATAGTGATAGCGGCTCCCTGATGCCCGCAAATTAGTTAAAATCTCCCGGAATCTAGAGCTCGCTCCAAACCGTGTAGCGCGCGGCAGCGAGGGAGAGAGCGAGAGACCTTGCGCGTGTGTGTGCAAATGTGCGTGTGTGCCTTATGAAGCGCATGTAAACCCCACCCCCGTCAACAAAACCGAAAAATCAGTCCGGATGTTTTTTATGAGCACTGAAAACATTAAAATGAGCACCACATCCAAGTGTGATAGGGCTCATTTGAGTAGCCTACCAAACATTTTACAGTGTAGATACTCTGTAAGAACCAGATCAAAATTGTTGTGCATTGAATGTGCACTCCTGCAATTTCCATGTTACAAAAAAGAATCGTTCAATTAGTCGTTAGATTAGTCGACTAATCGATAAAATAATCGACAGACTAATCGTTTAATTAATAATCGTTTACCCCAGCCCTATTATACAGTAATATTTGATTATTACTCTAGTTTGGTGGATAAATGCACAGTTCTGTCATGAAACTCTTGATGGCGCAGGCTGATAGGTCCTTAACTCAATCTGCTTGCAATCACATCATTCTCTATAGGGCACAGCTGATTGGTTCCTGCTGTATCAGTAGCCAATGAGCTCGCTGCTCAACCTTCAAATATTTGGTCATCATTTGCTGTAGCAGTCCAGCGCACTTTCAGAAACCCTCCACCTTCCCCAGCTCCACCTGTATAGATCTGCTACGGGTAATTTGTTGATGCTATTTTGTACAGCAGCAGAGTGTCTTACGTGCTCACAGCAGTGTGTTGTGTATGTATTGGCAGTAGAAAGGTCCCATACTTAAAGCAATAACCAACAGCATCAGCAGTGTAGCAGATCTATTCCGGCAAGACCAGACATTGTCATACCCATTACCATGCCAAACACTCAGAGAGTTGTCATGACAGAAATTGTAGATTAGTCATAATAATTCGTGTTTCACCAATTCTATACATTGTAATTGCTGTGCAGTTTGAAGGACAAACAAAAACCTTTTACATTGGGTGGAAGGAACTTTAAACAACTGTCCTGTCATTAGGACTCTTCCCCACATTGTCTGCTTAGTCCATTAACATCAGTTGCCACCAGTCATGTTGGTTGGTCTGAGGAAATAAGCTGCCGATGTACAAGAGTTCACCAGCAAAGGTTAGAAGCACAGACCATAACAAAGAGTCAGATGACAGATCCATGAAAAGCTTGAGGGCTTTGCCAGTGCATGGCTGCCTTCGGCACAACTGTTTTGATGTATCTTGATGGCTTTGTGTTGTGAATGTCTCAAATTCCTGGTCACAGTTCCTGCAGGTCATTCAGTGGGTCCATTTAGCCCTCAGGATGGTCTTTATGTGCACTTCACACTATAGGAGCCCACAAGTTAAGCGTGTCTGCACAAGTGAGGCATGTCTCCAAGGTCGGGTCCTGCTGGAGGTTCTTCCTCTTAGTGACAGGCTTTATGGACACAGACTGTGGATCAAAACAACAGCTTCTTCTACACAGTCACTGGATGGTGTTGCTGAGCTACTGGCCAAAACAGTGACCTTTGATTGCTTTTGGGAAAGAGGTGGTACGGCTTCTGTTGAGTCTTTAATGAGAATTGACGCAGAAATATTTTGGATCAACAATGATGCAATGCTCTTTTTTTGTGTCTGGATCTCTCAAAAAGTTACTCAAAAACATATTAAAATGGCTGAATGATGAATTGGTTAAAGTCAAAATATCTATATTTTTCCTATTACCAACACGAATACAGATTACAAAGATTTTTCCTATCCTCCATCTTAGACATCCTTATCTGTCACTGAGCCTTTTATTTGTTTCAGAACAGATCTATTTGATTCATTCATAGAGTGGAGTATTATCTATATAGTATTAGACAGTAGATGTGTATTTTCTTCACTGTCTTGCTCTTTCTCTTGGATGCCTACACAGACACAGTATTCTATCTCATAATAGCATTGATATGATATTTGTGTGCGTGATTCAAAGTCATCCATGGAGGTTATAGTGGGACGGGCTCTTCCCTCCCTCTCTCGGCTTAATGCTTCAGTCACGGGCCAAAACTCTCAGCCTCTGGCAGTGCGGCACACTGCAATGTTCCAGCTAGGAGAGTAATGGGATTAGCTATCTCTTACATAAAATGCTCCCCTGGCAGCCCTGCATGCCCCTCGGCCGTTCATCAATGTGGAAAGACACAGCAGTTATGAATACAGTGGAACCAGAATGCACTAGAGAACAAACGCAGATCTCATTGCAGTGCAGTAAATGAGTTTAGAGCGCAAAAGAGCGTTGTGTTTTCA